CCCACTCTAACATGCTGAATGATAATCATTAGAATCCTTCAGGAAATTAGTGGTGGTAAGTGAAAGAAACCAGTGCACTCCCCTCTACAGTTTAGAGCCAAACAGCTGGAAAAGACAACAGTGTTGTCACATCCTCACGAGTCACGATCACTTGAAGTAGACTCACAAACTACTGTGAAATCTAATGTTCAAGTACCCAGCATCAAAACAATTTCACATCTATTGTCCTTTAGCTTACTTGTTTTTTCACTTGGTTCTATTTTGTCATATTTTAGGGCAGTGATATTGGATTATGTCTCTTCCAACAATGCACCGGTGCTTGAAGTGATACTGGCATTGTGGGGTAAACATTGTGCTGCATCTGATGAGTATTTCCATATTGTTGACTCTATGCTGTGTCTTTCTGATGCATTATTATGCAATTTTTGTAATTTCATATAATACAAAGCATTGTCTAAAACTGCCCATGTTGGAGATTGTCTTCTTTTGTTTCATCTGAGCCTGGTTTTTGTTTAATATGCCTCCAGTGTTGTGAATGTGTCTCTCGCTGAGCTGAATTCTGATAAATGTGTCACATGTTTACACTCTGATAAATCAGGAACCAGTACAGTCTCAAAGCATCACTTGAGCAAAGTATCAAGTGCTGAAAAGAGGAAGTGAGCATTGGTGAGTGGTGAGTTCACTTTTGGTACTTTAACTGTACTTTAAATCTATTACTTTCTCATATTTATCTAAATATCTGAATGTGCAACTTTTTTCTATGAAGTATTTCTGCATCGGTGGAGCTACTTTGAACTACTTTATATACAGTTTGATACGATGGGACAGCAGATCCATCTGAGGACTGGTCAGATTATAAAAGGGATAGGAAATAATAAAAACACAAAGCTCTGATACACAACTTTGTTCTCAGATTTTGACATTTTTGGAGCCATTAGGGTTGGACACCACCATGTTAATGTCATATTTTAGAGTTTTGGAATATCATTAATATAAAGTAACTAAATCTGTAAGATAAATGCAAGTAAAGTAGTGAGTACAACATTTTTTGATGGAAATGCTCAAAGTTTTGAATTTGAACACAAAGAATTCACACTGAGCACAAACCATCAGACAAGAGAACAGAGGACAAAAACAACCAACCGTCTTAGTGTTGTAGCTATCTGCAGTTAAACTAACCACAGCTTCCTGTTGAACCTGCAGAAATCACGCTTGAGAAACTAAAAGTTCACACTGAGTTCACTTTCTGAGGCGTCCTATGTTCTGTAATAGAGGAGTTTCTTTCCCTCCACTATACTGCATGTATCTTGCCCCACAAAGCATCACTGGTTTAAAAAAAAAAAAGAAGTATTTACGCATATTGAAACTGAAATCTATGAATCCTTTTTTGAAGAAACAGTTTGTTCTGAGACGGTGTATTGTTCAATTCAACTCAATTTTATTTTATTTGTGTAGCTCAGTTTACAGCATATGTCAACACAACGCTTCATGCGTTTCCTACAGTCACAGCCAGAGCTGTGTGTTAGTGTTATGCACCGTATTTGGGGGGTGGTCTCAGTTTTCTGTGGTCTCCACAGCAGGATGTAGAGACGCAGGATGTCTTTTCTTCTTTTACTGCTTTTCTTTTCTGTTGTTGCATTTTTTTCATGGGTATGGCAAGTATTTTTTTGTGCCTTTAGAGTTGACATTAAATAAAATTGCGCTGTTTAGGCTGCAAACTAATTTCCTCATTTTATCTCCTTCTCTGCACACCACCTGCAAGCAGCTTCACCCCTAAAGGTAAGAGACTGACAGTTTCCCTATTTTACTCTAAAGGTAAATGGATTTGTTTGGAATTGGATTTGAGATGTTGCACAATTAAACAAAAGATGAGGCTCAACCCTGCGCCATTAAACTGGGATGAGAGAAAGAGGTAACGGGGACATAATGCAGAAGTAAAGAGGAACTACAGAAGCAACTCCACAGTATCATTACATGAGGGGACACGAAAGTGTTGAAGTGATCAGTAACGAAAGTGTTTTGGGCTGATCGGTCGTCATCAGGAACGGTCATCTCAAGAAAATAAACAGTGGTTATGACTGACGTGGACTGTGGGTACGGAAAGCCAAAGGTGCCATAATTCACCTCGGTTTGCACGTGAGTGTTTTGTAAAGTGTTGTTGAGCTTAACTCTGACAGATACGTCGTACGTTTACAGAACTGAAAATTAGAGCTCAAAACCTGCTGAGACGAACCAGAGGCCTTCGTGAAGATGATGGGGAAGTGAGTACATTCTCTGTATGTAAATCTGAAATGTTTGCATGTTTTTTTTCCCACATTGTGGGAAATAGTTTTGTTTTTTAACTTTAAAAATGTGTTTATTTCTCAGGGAAGACAAGGTTGTTACTAGTGGCTTCGTGGCGTTTAAAGCAGTAGAGGCAATAACTGGAATCTTTCAACCAGAAGTCCTGACTGTAATAATCTCACTGTTTATTATTGGAGGCTACATGTGGAGCAAAGACTTTTCTTCAGCGTGAGTCCATATTTGCTCCCCTCGACTGCCGCAACATCTCACTGACCCAGCTGATGTGATAATAAACTGAGAGGTTTATAACGCTAGACTAAAATATATATATATATGCAAAAAATTTTAATATCTTCTAAAACGTATCTTTGTTTATCAAATGTTCCTGTTTTTGTTTGTTTTCCAGAAACCTCAGCAAGATGATTATTGCAATAATCGCGCTGAACATCATTTGCTTGTTCAGACTGCACATGACGACGGTGGCGGGACTCAGACTTTTTGCGAAACTCATGGTCACTGCTATGACAATGGTGATGGGTCAGGGAAAGGAAACGAAAAAAGGCAAATAAGACATGAGAAGTGGATGCTGCGGTACATGTCCCGACTCTTCAAATGATGACTTTTTGAGTTTGACTTAAATAGATAAGCTCTGATTTTGTATTGGAAGATTTAAAACTCTGTTAAATGACTTGTCAAGATTTGATTTTCAAAATAAACTACAATTACAGAAATTAGAACAATGTCAGTTTATGTCTCATTGTCTTGCCTTGTTGATGAAATGTTGTAGTATTTTCCTACACAGCAAACATCTGCACCACGTCCCACACAACAATGCACACAGTTTGATGAGGAGAACTTTAAAAAACAAACAAAAAAAAACATGTTGACTGTGCAGTTCTGATGTGATTAAAGAAACTGCTGCATCATCTTTTGCTCTGAGGGACAATTACTTCTGTGTAGTAGTTTAAAAGTCTGTGGGTGCTGAATATGTTCTAGCAGGAAAAATTAAATTAACATCTAAACTGATCCAAATATTAGATTTTTTTTTTTGAAACACTAATTTGGGGCAACATTTTGGCACAATCCACACTGCATCATAAATTCTTTCTTAACCTACCTGGTTTTAAGGCCCTGATCATTTGCACTGTTCCCGGTTGTTTAAAGGGGAACCCTATTAAAATGCTATACAGGTGATCTGTGCTTTCTTTTCATGATTCAGCTTCTATTTCACATGGATTCTCGCCAACTTATCAGTCTGCCGCCGAGTTTAAATCTGCTGACCAGACCTGTTCAATTCAGCTACATAAAAAAAGGAGTCTATCCTAGCTGACTCAGGGGACACCCTGGACAGGTCACCAGTCTATCACAGGGCTACACTTAGAGACAGACAACCAAGCACACTCACATTCACACCTACGGACAATTTAGAATCACCAATTAACCTCAACATGTTTTTGGACTGTGTGGGAGGAAGCCGGAGAACATGCAAACTCCACGCAGAAAGATCCCGGTGCCCCCACCAGGACGCGAACTGGCAACCTTCTTGCTGCCAGGCAACGATGCTAACCACCAAGCCATCTTGCAGCCCCAATGTTTATATGCAATATGTATCCTGGGGCACTGAGGTCCAAAGTTGCATTTAGTGGCAACAGAGACCTCAAAATTTCTACTCTTCACAAGTAAAAATAACTTTAAAAAGCCACCAGAAGATGGTGGAGTTTAAAATCTTTCCTACTCAGGTAAGGTTTCTCCACCTCAGCTTCCTCATTTTATATCACACCCCTAAAAAAACTCCAATACATTGGACTGCAAACATCTGTTGCTTTAAAGTGATGAATGTAGTATAAATCTCCTCCAGTGTAATTAACATTAAAACAAAACATTATTTTAAATGTTCATACCTACACGAGCGATAATTAAAGTCACAGTTCTGGGCAAAACATCCTGTGTAATAATCTATTAAGATTCATATTAAGTCACTGACAGTCAGACCTTTAGATAATCTGCTACATCAGGACTGCGGGTGTGGTTTGATGAGGTTTACAGTAGCTACAGTGCAGTACAGTACTTCACACCTCCACCCACCTCAGAAGGCGAGAAAGAGATAAAAACACAAATATAGAGTTTTTCAGTAAAAACAGCATTTTTTGTGTGTGTATGAAATCAGTTCCAGCAGCAAATATTCCCACAGAAAATGTTGGCTGACTCACAGTATGAGCTTATCGTAGCTTGGATCATCACCAAGTCCAAACGATTAACACTTTACATAACATAATGTTTGTTTTTTTGATAACAAGTCAAAAGTGTATTTCAGCAAGAAATCATTACATCTAAAATCCTGTCACCTGACTCATTAAGGGGAAAGAGGGCAATAAAAACACTACCTGCAGCTAAATCTGTGTCAGGACTGACAGAATCCAGCTGGTGTTTTGCACCCCCTGCCTTTGGCTTTGCTGAGGATTATGGGTATTGTAATACACAGACCCACTTGACATCTCAAACCTATTTTGTCAGAAACAAAGTGGACGTAATGAAAACTGGTAGACACGCTATAAACATATAGCGTTTTTAGATTATCCCGAGTTGTTGTGTTCAAAGTTGTGTTCACCTTAAAACTTCAGTGATTTATGATAAATGAGGCCATGTGATCAGATTTATGTTGAGTAACACAAGTAAACAATAAACCCTGCTGAACTTTGACAGAAGATAAAACAACATTTTGTTTGATAAAAAAGCAACTTTAATGAGTCGAGTTCAATCTTCAGATTTCTCAACTCTGACGCCAGAGCACAAATAATTCACAGATATGAGACGGACTGAGCTGTTGACCAAACACACATCGGCTGTATGCGACTGTGAAGTTTTCATTCTAAAAACTTGCGACTACCGAAGAGTTACAGACTTCATTTTTTTTTTTTTTTTCAAGCGCTTGTTCCTGAACATTTATGCCAGTGGTTGTGTTGTTGTTGTGTTTTCTGGTCAGTTCAGCTGTGGCTGGACGATGGAGGACCAGTCTGAGCTGCTGCTATGCCGTCGGGCTGTGAGGACGGGTCTGAAACAGAAACGCAAGAAGTTTGTGTCAGAGCAAACTAGTAACGGCGTATCAAACATATGACAACAGTAGAGAATACTCACACATGCCATTGGGAGCTCCAGGGTGTCGAGGGGCCATCGTTTGGGCATTTCCTAGAACTGGCATGGACATGGACTGGCCTGAAGAAGAAGGAAGGACTAAAATGTAATGTACAAAATCAAACAGTGATATACAGGTTACAAGTCTGGCGACACTAGATGCACTTTCCTGTGAGGATATGTGTCTGTGCTATAGAAACCTGATTTGTGCCATTTCAAAGTGGACGTTTGAGTTGTGAGTCCAGACCTGAACGCTGCATTGTGTAACCCGGCTGGCCTTGCTGCTCCCTCTGCTGGCGAACCTTTATCTCCGCCTGCTTCAGCTGCTCTGTATGAAAAGTCTGTCTCTCTGACAAGAGCTGTTGCCGCTGCTGCTCCAGCTGCATGAGACACACATACAACACAGATATGAAGTGTAACTGATATGAGCTGGACTTGTTCTGGACATAAACCCTGCAGAAAGGACCAGGAAAGTGGAATTTCATCGCAAGCAATAAAGGAAATTAAATGAGCGAGGAGAGAAGCTGTAGTAATAACTTTCATCATCCTTGGTTAGAGCTACAGCAGATATTAATTCACTCACAGCCTCTTTCTCGCGGTCCATGATGGTCTCCAGCTCTTCAAAGTGTCTCAGCTTGATCTCCAACTTCTTCATCTGGGTCTCTACCAGCAGAGCCACCAGGGACTTGATCTTCCTCTCTTCTACTGCCGCCAAGTGCTGCAAATACAGAGGCAAAAAGATGGTGCTAATTAGGAGAGGATCAAATTAGAAGAAACACAACACCATAAATGAGTAAAAGACTGGGAAGTGTGACGCCTAAGCATTAAAAAAAAAGGGAAAAAAAGCAGAAGAAGTTATATAAAGGAGTAAAACAGTGAGGAAGACAGTGAAATATAAGATACGAGAGGAGAAAACACTGCCACAGGTTTATATTACTGCTAGAACCGTCTTTATCACAGCAGCTGGCCATGACTGTGGGCGAGAACAGTAGACAAAGAGACACAACGAAAGCAGAGAGTTGCAGTGACACCTCAGATCGAACTGAGTTACTTTGTCGTGGCATACATGGATAGTATTTGCTTTCCTTCCCCAGTAACTGATAAAAGCCTTAAAAAACTGCCTTACAATTATATTTAGACGTAACTCTACACTGTTGCTTCCTCTAAAAAGTGCAAATCTATGACGTCCCTACCTTTCTCTCCACTCACACCTCATCACTCTTTGCAGCTCGAGCACACCAGCTCACAAACAATTCAGCTGGAAACTACTACATAATGGCAAGTTGCAATATTCAGGTACTTCAGCTGTACATGGTTGAAACAGAAACTAATTTTTAGGACAAAGACATATATGGAAAGTCCCCCGCAAGATTCTTTAGGTTTGTTACACAACTCCAAAAGTCTATGTTTTTGAGACTGCAAATCGTAGAGTGAAGTTTAAAAGATGGAAATGAGGGCGCCCCAGTAGCTCAACCAGATAAGACAACGACCCACAAACAGGGGCTATAGTCCCCGAAGCTGCAGTCGTGGGATCGACTCCTGACCTGACCAAGGCCATTTGCTGCAGGTCTTTCCCCACTCTGCTTCCCCCTTACCTGTCTCTGGCAACTGCTCTGACAAATAAAGGCAGAAGGAAACTTTTTTTTCTTTTTTAAAAGGTGGAAATGCTCAGCCACAGGGACGACTGCGTATTTCACTCATGATGTGTCATCCGGCATATAAAAAACACCATATGGACATGTCAGCAAGGTAAAAAAAAATATTTTCACAACAGCGGTTCTTTCAATGAGAAGATCCATCGCCCTCATATAGCTGTCTTCCATCTAGCAGAAGATAAGCTTAGCTTAGCACCAAACACTGGGAATCAGGGGAGATAACTACCCCGGTTTTGCCTAAAGATAACACAATTTGCCTATCAGCACATTAAAGCTTACAAATTCCCCTCTAGTAGCCACACACAATATGTTCTCCATTATACGTAAAACTACTGAGGGCAGATTTATTGCACATGTGTCTGTTTGTTTCTAGTTAAAAACAGAACATGAATCACTGACATGTATAACTGTTTACTAAATGGAATCATCTCCAGCCCCACAGATTAATATTGTATATGTTGCATAATTGATGTCATTTATTTGTACACATCAGTGTAGTGGCCAAGTGGTCTCTGAAATACGGTCTGCTTTGGTTGCTAGGAGACCTGAAACACAACTGAAAAAAGCCTCTATTTAAACTGACAAGCATTTCTTCACTTTATGTTCGTGTCATTGGTCCATTTGTAATTGGGAGGGCGGGCTTTACCTTGGCCTTTGTGGCAGCTGAGGCCAGAGCAGCTGCTGCTGCCGTGGCAACGCTGCCCTCCACCAGCTCCATCTCCATCCCTCTCCCCCCCTCATCTCCGTCTCCCTCCCGCCGGCCGATGCTCTCATCGTCATCTCCCCTTCCTAGACGACAGAAAGAGTTGCGTTAATGCAGCTGTCTGTGCACACAAACACACACATGCATATCTACTGTACCGTCCGTATTAACGTACCATCTCTGTCCTCAGCAAGTATGTTTTCAGCATGTTCTCTTTTGACTCGTTCTCCCTCCACTTTTGGCCCACTTGGTTCCACCTTCAACCCATCTGCCCTTACAGGTCCCTGAAACAGATCCAAATGTACACGCACAAACACAAACTCAAGTTAAGCAGCATGAATCAGCAGCACATACAACACAAACTCTTTAAGCTCTTATTGGTGCCTTACCTGATGGGGGTTGGAATTTGCCTCCAGTTTTTCTGCATCCATTGATTCTATAAGACAGTGGAAGAAAAGAACAATGGGAAACATTACAAACAGTGAAACAGAATTGTGTAGAATTATGTGTATATGTATCTTAGTCTTACCTGTTTTTTCTGGCTGGTTGGACATTTCAGAGGCTTTGTCCACTGATTCCTCTTGCACTCGGGAAAACTCCTCTGAACACAAACACGACCAGTTTCCATACATATTTCTTACTTTGGAGATACACTGTACAATCTCAGAGCTATACTTTAACTTAGACTTGACAAAAACACATTTTATTCTCACCCAGTGCGGCCTTAGCTGCAGCTGATGCCACGCGTGGATCCACCACAGACGCCAGGAAGGCCACAGTGCTCATGACAGGGTTCTCTGATTGGCTAAAAGGCACAGGCTGATAGGCCAGCGGACCCAGAGAGGCGGAAGAGTCTTCCAGGTACGGGTCTTCTATCGGCAGACGAAGGAAGTGGAGGATACATTCATCCTGCGTTCTGGAGCCCACGTGCTCTGATACTTTGTTCCAGTCGTCTCTGTAAACCTCTAAGGCCTAAGAGAGGCACACGAAAGAGTCAAAGAGAGTCACAGAGGAGCAGGGCTTATGTAAAAGATCTCATGAATTAAAAATAAATGTTTTCCTGTTTAGGAATGCAGTGAGTCATGTGGAAGGCTGTGACAGAAAGCCAAAAGCACGAGTTATTGTCTTACCTCCAAGAGCAAGAGTGTCTCCTGCTCTGCCCATTCCCTTCCTGCACTGGCTCCTTTAGTCTGGTAAGGATGTCATGACAGTAGTAGTAGTGTTAGTTAGTAGTAGTAGTAATAGTTATAGTAATAAGATCTGCAAAGAGTAAATAGTTAATATACAATATAAATAAGTACATGTAAAATTGAGTAAATGTGCAAAATCATTTAAAAATTAGTTAAAGCAGCTAGAAAAATAATCACGTCTGTTCTGCCAGATATTGTACAAGGACGTCTCTTTGAAGGCCCATTTTGTGATCGTTTGACCTCTTTGTGGTACACCGTACATCATCCGCAAATAGATGTTGTTTTCTGTATTTGTGAGCTGTTACTGTGTGAGACCTTGGGGTGTTTCCTCGCGTAGATGTCAGTGCGCAGACCGAAGTTCTGGCAGTCTGAGGGTTTCTCTCTGCTCTTTTCTGGGAAATACAACATGTGCTGTGAGGCCGACACCTGCAAGATTGAGTGGGAGCGGGAGAGTATATCAGGAGGTGACACAAACTGGGTTTCAAATCTGCCTGTGCTGAGCTGGTGTCTTGCATATTTTTGCAAAACACAAACCTGTAGGGGTTTGTGTTGCAGGGGGGCCAGCCCAGATGGTGTGTCAGCCAGCACGTTGAAATGGGGGGTGGGTGGCGGTCCCATGGGGAGGGGTCTGCTCTCTGCATCCACTTGGTAGTTAATCAAACCCCACTGCTCCAAAAACGCATGAACCCTGGACACAAAGAATATTTCTTGTTCATATTAATTGCACTACGTTGCAGCCAAAACTGCCTACATGTATTTTAAAAATGTAAATACAGTGACAAATCAGCATGTTGTAATTAAACTTGCTTTAGAATTGTGGATCCATTAACTACACCATATACCGCATGCTGCTTCACAGCATGAACAGATTTAATTTGCTAACACATTCACGCAGCTGAACGCCTACATACTACACCCAATTTAGCAGACACTGCAGACACTGCATGGCAGCAAACACCCACACGTTAAGTTATACCTCATAACAGCACAAACGTCTCCAGTGAGGTTGCGTCTACAGGACGTTGAACTGAGGTACTCCTGGGGGTTGAGCCGGTACGTGTCGATCATGAAGTTACGATACGCCAAGTAGCTGCAATGTACAAAGAAAATCAAACTGAGGGGCATTCTTCTTCATCCAAGTTTATGGTAATGTCTGAATGTCAGCAGTACTCACATTTCAGGAGATTTAGATTTGTTCTTTCCATTGAAGAATTCAGGAAGTGCACGTTTCTCTATCGAGTGAATGCTGGATAAAATGAATGAGGAGGTTTTTTAGGGTTAAGCTGAACTTATGATGAATGTATGCACTTCAGCGCACAATGTCAAGACAAAGGTGTGTATTTTTTTACCTGTTGTAATTGAACCACGAAGTGTAACTTGGTATTATAATATGATGAGTCTGTTCTGTGATATTGTCCTCTCCTTCTGACAGGCGTGGGTTCTCTCCTCGTCCCTCCTCATCTTCCTACAAACACATTCACACACAGTAACGTTAATAACTCATGACATAAACAACTGAGGCTGCACAATTATCACTAAAATAATAGTCATGATTATTTAATCAAAATTGATAGAGCGATTATTTGTCATGATTATTCATTGATTTTAGGGACGAAACGTGTTTATGGCACTTTGACATTTAAAAAAGATGCAGAGCACTGCTTTCACTTCTACGTTGTGCTGCATTGCTGCTAATGTACAAATATTTGCATCAAATTAGTACCTAAAATAAGGATTTTTGAAACTGGAATTTGGTGCATCTCCTAGAGGCAAAAAATAAATAAAATTGCACCCAAAATGCCTCACATGTTCAACATCTTATCGATATATGGTACAACTTCCTGATGCTTCATAAACACCTAGCTAGCCAGCTGTGCACAGAGAAGCCTCTAGTCTCCTTACTCAGTTACTGCAGTGGATGCATCCCAGACAGGTGTGTGACAAAAAAAATACTTTGAAAGGAGTGAAATCTAAGATTAAGTCCCATACAAGAGTTACCCAAGTTGAAACCAAGTGATTTTTCTACATGGGCTGTTTTCTATGAAAGGAGTTATGTACAAACAGAGCATGCATTTTAAATGTCAGCATCGCATGTTCATTTAATTGTAATTGGAACAAATAATCAAATGATTGTGCAGTTGTTTCTGACAACCCAACTCTCCTGCAATTTGGTACATTGTAACTGAGAAAAATGACAGATTTACCCTTCCTGGGAAATCATCCTCTTGTTCATCTAGAGAAGAAACAACGATAACAGAATGAAAAATCCAGGTGCAGACATAGAAACAAGAGACCATCTACATATCATCTTTGCAATTCTTACAAACATACCTAGGTCAGCCATGGTCCCTCCTTTCACTGGAGTATTTTCACTGTCTTTCTTCAGATTGACTACACAGACAGGGTAAAAAATACAACACACAACTTAGAGAAGGAAAGTAACATATCTAAGCAAATGTATACATCATTTTTTTTTTACATTTCTTGTGACTTATAGACCATATCTTCAAACGTTTTACCATTCTTGGGTAGTATGACCTCCTCCATGTTCGGAACAGGAGTCGGGTCTTCCATGTCTTTGGTCAGGTCCTCTTCGGGTTCTTCCTCCTGTTGTCCACGCCTTCTCCTGTGTACACACACACACACATAGAGACAAGCAAAAATCAATTCTGCAGCCTTACATTGTGATGCCAAACCCAAAAGTATAACCCTGATTGGAGGAAACAGTTATTTCTTACCCCTTCTTTCCTTTCTTCCTGCCTTCAGAGGTGGGAGGAGAGGGGGAACGTCTTCTCTTTTTGGAGGGGGTGGACTTTGAGTCCTGTAACAAAAAGTCAAGGCAGATGAAAAAAACTAAAAAAAAGGAGTCGAAGCTATCGTGACAAAAGCAGCATTTGCAACTTTGATGAAGAGGACAGCCGCGTTTCATCACTGAGGGAAGTCGTTGTTTAAAATGGAAAAGCAATCAACGCAGGTTTTAACTCTCAAAACAAAAGACAAGACATTTCATTAAAAAAGTATTTCAAGGTTCACATTTGCTTTCTGTGGCTTAAATAAATGATGATATTTAGCTGTGTATTAATAATAGAGAACCTCATTCCTTAGATAAGCATTACAGATCATGCACAGTTTCACACAAACCTGGTCATCTTGGAGGTGAATACGCTGACGGAGGATGACCGGTACATTCCTCTCATCCACACAGTAGTCTTCCTCATTCATCCATTCATTGAAAACATCCGTATCCAGAACCCAACCAGCATGGACCTGGAACACACACACACACACACACAAACAAAATGAATATTAATAGGCAATGAACACTAGTGTATCTCATCAAGTGTCGAAAAGGAACACACACCACATCAGCGAATGCCAGTATAAATTGGCTTAGGCAGATAAAGGAATAGGCTGCAACTAGCTGTCAAGTTACTTGTTGAATTTTTTAGATGATATTATATAAAATCCTCCATTATTTATAGAGCCTGTGGTCTGGTTCCTGTTCCAAAATTCTGTCCCTGCTGACCACCATTCTGTATCTAACGGAGAGCCAATTTAAAAAAACAGCTATGCTCTTTCGTTAAGTGACTCCCAGTGAGCTATAAAATTAATTTTATGACACCACATTTGATTCAATATAATTTAATGTTCGGAACTACAAAATGTTGATGTAGAGTTTTATATAGTGAATAAAGAAAGCTGCGCCATATCATTAGGTATATAAAGTGGTAGAACTATAGGAGTTTCCTTTATGTGTATATGTGTTGCCATACTAACCCTCCATGGCCTCTCTGGATGCGGCAGCTCTTCAACCTCTCCTTCAACGTCACCTGAGGACAGCCAGCTATCGTAACTGTTAAAAGACAAAAGACATTTCATGGTCAAGTAATTAAAGTTGTGTCTGTGCTGTCCGTGTGTGTTTATGAGGGTTTGCTCGTGTATTACCTATCAGGGTGCATTCCCCAATGTACTAAGACATGCTTGTCTTTCCGCATGACAGGACGCATCCACTCATCTGAAAACAGATAAGCATACAAAAAAGTTAATAAGTTAGTATTAGGTAATATAAAGTGAGCAATCACACGCTTAAACTTTTACTGACCCTCCTCTGTAGAAGGTGGTGAGGTGTAGATGTGATGACTGGCAAGCGTTTTGTCCTCAGTGAGGGTACCCTGTGGAAGGAAAAACTGTGACTGAGCAGCACTGAAAAAGCTACACTCTGGTTAGTTATTCTCGCTCTTTTCCACTCGAAGCTCTCAACATATTCTCCTTTTACACAATGCTAAACCCTCCATCCACTCGTTTTTCTCATCTGCAGCGCTTTACCTGGTGTTTGGTGATGATACCAGTCAGTCTGCTAACCAGCTCCTGATCCAGTGCAGGGTCCAGATATACCACAGGCACTGACATACAGTTGTTCTGTTGACAAAAAAATAAATAAAAAAATTAATGTACAAATCAATGAATAGCAAGTCCTTGGTGTGTATGTGTGTCTGAGTGTTTTTGTTACCTGGATCAGTGCTTTTTCAATCGTACCAAACATCTCCACATTCCTCTCAGTTCTTGATGGATTCTGCAGGTCAAACCTTCGCCTGTGTGAAGGTCAGAAGGGAATAAAGAGGGCACAGTTATGAGGAGGCATCGGCAAATGCAGCACAGCTTTGTGAGGGACACCAATATGAAATGGTAAAGGCACAGGAGATTGACTACCCACCAGCCCTGTTCGACTTTGAATTTGTAAGCAGTGCCAAGAATGTGACAGAGTCCACCCCCGGGTCGCAAGTCCAGGAAGCATTGTGCCTGTAGAGCAATGACCAAATCAGCACCATTTCACCTTTTCTCTATTTAAAGGATGTTGTTAAGGTTTCGGAAACAGTAAAAGACAGACTCACGGGCAGTTTGGTAAGTGCAGGGTTGGTAGCTTGTCGACCAAAGGCATCCTCTTGAAACTGGAGAAGTTGTAGGGTGACTGCAGCCAAAGCCTGACAGGACGGGGCATCCACCAACACATACTGACAGGGACACACATTGTAAAAGGTATATGAGGAGCATGTTTACTCTTCATGTCTTATAATAATCATTTTACCGACAGTCTCCCCAACTTAGCAGCTGTATTTATAGTGTGTCTGAGCTACATTTGCATTTCATTTTTTTTGTATTCCTACTTCACATAGGCACAGCTCTGTAACTTCATCACACCTAGCTTAATGGCTAATGTAAAAGTTATGCAGCCTGAGAGGTTTGTTTACAGTGTTAGCCACTGAGCTTGCTAGCAGGGGGCGGCTAGCGTGTTGCCTAGCTTCCTCGTCAGCTAACTACCTTTTTGTAGTGCTTCCCCATCCACTGCCGCACCACATCCAGCTGGGCTAAAGTATCCGGACTCTCCCAGAACCTAGCGGACGGGCTGCTGTCTTTCTTCCGGTGTGCGAGTATTCCGGAGCTGGCTTGGCTTGTCCCGGGAACCCCGAGATTAGCGCCTCCGGACATTGTAGCCATAACAAAACGAGATAAATTTCAAACGGGAGAACAAAACTGGCTAGCGCGGTCGCTAGCGTTTGCGTTCTCGTGTTCTCTCGCGAGACACAACGGGACTGTCGCAATTCGGCATGAGAGGCTTCCTGTCAGTGTTTACCGGTTGTTAGTGGTTTAGGATCTTTTTTTTTGTTTCTAGTGTTTGTTTTGAAAAATTCATTAGTATATGTTAAAAATAAGAAAGACGTTATCTTATGGACAACAAAATAAACACGTTTGTCACTGGCCATTACCTTTTGTTGAAGTGAAACATTACAAGGAAGTAACTGCGCAAGACAGATGTAAACAGCGTGGAAGCGCAGTGATATTGGTCAGTATAACCTACCTATCAAATGTCTGTTTAAAATATGTTCTTAATATACAGTTTCAATCACGTCATACGAGTTGTTCTGCCGCAGTCATTTCTATTGTGTCACAATTTTCCAACCAACAGTCTCAGTGTCTGTTTAGGAAAAACAAACACTCGAGCAGCTGACTGTCTACTCAGTTAGCTATAACTGGCATTTATGCTATTACTGGATGTCTGCAAACTGCACTGCGTGGCATCTAAGCGTCAGCACCACCCACATGGCACCACTGTGAACCTCATTCATCCTCTCACTTCATGTCCTTCTAGGCCCTGAGGTCCCATGGGTGTCCAGGGTCTGACCACCTATGTGGAGGGGAACAAATACTTCTTCCAAGATGTGAAGTTCAGGGACAGTCGCCTGGTGATTGATGGCTGCAGTCTGTATTACCGCCTCTACTTTAACAGCGGGTTGGAACAGCAGCATGGCGGAGACTATTCTGAATTCGCTTGCCTGCTCACCCAGTTCTTCTCTGCTCTGGCAACCTGTAACATCCAGCCATATGTGGTTCTGGATGGAGGTAAGGATGCTCTAGAGTTGCGACTTACTGAAAGTGTTGCACCCCGTCATCTCCTCAACTTCTTTCAGTGTGTGATATTAATCTGTCTCAGTGTTTTCATACACGGCATGCAATTCAAAGAGGGGAATACTTAGAGGTTTCATGTGTTATTTTCAAAACTATTAACAGGTTAACTCAACCAGTCATTTAATCTCTTCAGTTTCAGGGGTCCTAACTTGGTTTTGGTAGTTATTTCTTCAATTTGCTATTTAGTCCTGCAGAGCATCTTCAGAATTCTTTATCTTTCTTACTCCCTGTTCATGTTGTTCGTCTAGCTATGTAATAACCTACTGATTTTAACCTATGTGAAATATTTTAATGATAGGTCATCAAAAACTCTCTTTTTTTTCGTGTTTCCCTCCTCATGGTTTTTTGTGTAATTTTTTTAATTTCAATCTTTGCAAAACTTCAACCCAAATGAACTCAGAGAATATAAATATTATTAATTCTGGCAAAAGTAGACAAGTGTTTCACAAATGAATTACAATACAATAAACAGAATTAAAGCAAAAGAAAAAAAGATGTGAATCTAATCAAATGTAACTTTGTCTGCATTTGTAAAACCTACAAACATTTTATTTCTGTCTTTTTCTTATTATTATTCAAAGGGATTGACCCCAGTGACAAGAAGTTTTCCACTCTGCGGCAGCGCTTGCAGTCCAAGATAAAGGAGGCAGGCAATCTCTCTCATGGTCGCAATGGCTCGGTTCTCCCTATCCTCACAAGAAATGTCTTCATTCAGGTCCTTCTTGAGCAAGGAGTCCCCCTGGCCCAGTGTTCAGCTGAGGCTGACTGGGAGATTGCATGTTTGGCACACCAGTGGAACTGCCCAGTGCTGACCAATGACAGTGACTTTTATATCTTTGACCTTCCAGGTGAGGGTAGTGAAAGGGTTTTTCTCTCTGTGCTTTAACCAGAATCCAAATGGTCATTTGTAATAACTGGTAGTGACAATATCTTGCTTTATTTTGTAGTTGTTTCACATACTGGTTATGTCTTGCGTTCTCTCATCTTAGGTGGTTACCTCCCATTGCGTTTTTTCCATTGGACCAACCTAAATGGTAAAGCCTCTCACCGCTACATCTCAGCTCGGTGCTACACCACAAACAGTCTGTGTCGCTTGTTTGGGGGCATGAACCATGAGTTGCTACCCTTATGTGCTGTGCTGACTGGTAATGACTATGGTGTTCCAAAGGAGGCTGAAACACTCCTTGCTCTGGTAGATTTTAGTGCAGTGGGGGGAGGTGGTGGCAGGAGAAAAGGTGGAGCGCCCATGTCGCGTGTCGAGGGAATCCTCCTTTGGCTGTCGACTTTTTCAAGTGTGGCAATGGCACTAGACGAAGTGAGCAAACTAATGGGGGAGGACAGTGGTAGGGGCAAGAGAGGACAGAAGGGTGGGCTCAGTTCCCAGCTGTGGGCAGGCATGCAGGAGTACCACATCAAGGGTCGAAGCTCACTGGCTCGCTGGTTCTCCGGAGTTAAGGCAGTTCCAGGAGGGCAGACCTCTAGGCTCGCACAGCTGCCAGAGTGCTTGTCACTGGCTGCAATGCAGGGACTGTTGCATCCCTCGGTGGTCGATGCTTTTGTGATGCAAAGGGTCCTTCTGTCGCCACAGGTGGAGAACAGTAAGCTAGCCAGCAGCCACTGTAGTTCTAGAGCCATACGACAGGCGTTGTATGGGATTTTACTGCAGAGACCCCAAGACAACATAACTCAAGGAAGAGGTGGAGGAGCACAGGTAGTGAAGGGACTGCAAGATGAAGTTCAAACGCAGGGTATGAGGGTGCAAGAAAACGTCAGACAGGGAATGAGAGGTGGAAGAGGGCGAGGAGGAAGGGGGAGTGGAGGCAGGGGTCAGGGCCACATTGTACCTGCACAGCAGGGTGTAAATGTAGCATTTAGCACAGAACAAGCAGCTGGTGCAGCTACAGTGCAGGCTCAGAGCAGCAGCAGCAGCACTCCCATTTATGTGGAAGAGTATGATCGTGTGGACCTGAACTTGAAGAAAATCCAAATAGAGGCACATCCCCCCAGAAACCATCTACATCTGGATGGACTTGGTCAGGTAAACGTTCTTCGGTATTGACAGTCTTTGTTGGTTAGGGTATATAGGTTTTTTTTTTTGTTTTGTTTTTTTTAAGACATAGTCCACATGATCTAATTACAGTTTTCCCATGTTGACTCATCACTTCATCTAGGCTCCTGTGGCAGTGCGACTAAATGTCCTGTTTGAAGTCTTGGGGGTGAAGGACTCTGCCCTGGCTCCTGTTCCTCTCCACCTGCAGCTGGCTGTAGCGGTGACAGGATTCTGGCTGCGGGAGGCCGTACCAACACCCTCACAGCTCCAGCTGCAGGCTTTGGTGCTCAGCATAGTTTATGGAGAGCTGTTCTTGAAACATCAGCCTGGAGCTACTCAGCACCAGCACCATGGTTAGTTGTGCTGCATCTCTCATTCTGTTAAAAATGCACCCTATAACAAGGCAATTAGTTGTTTCACTCTAATAATCTAAGAGCCGTTTCTTTCTGTCCAACATCTCAGTTCCACAAATAAACTGGGCTGCAGAGCGCAAGGTGTTGGAGGGGCTGAATCGGCAACGTGTGAGACCAGGGGAGAGACAGGGCGTGAATCTCGGAGCTGCTCACAGTTTCAGCCAATGGCAGGCCTGCCTCTGGAGTGCACTGTGTCTCAATCAGCTATTGCTGCTTCCGCTGCCTGAGCCCAACCTGTCATGGTAAGAAAAGGGTATAGAAGAGAACAGATGGGTGCACTTTTTTTCATTTCTCATCCATTTACCCATCTCATAAGGTTAATGAAAAGTAGAGATGTAACTGCTAATTGGGAACTGACAAATTATTGCTTTTGTCACGTATCTCGATCTGCATTTACATTTGCAGAGATTTTGAGATCTCTCCTGCCACCCCGATACAACAGAGGGAGATATAATTTTCTGCTTGTTGTTAAAAATAACAAAAATGAGATAACAAAGCTTAGATTTATATTTATACATACCATTCAGCATGCAGTTTTCAATGATCGGTCACCTCAGGTACTTTTTGAGGTGGACCCAGAGTAGACAAATCTGAAAATATATGCAAGTATATAATTTGGTTGTTCCCTTCCTCCTCCTTGTGCCTCTCAGGTTGTTCAGTGGTACTTTGGTTCACGGCCTCGTCAGGAGTCTGAAAGGGGGCCGAGCTGCAGAGTCCCTGCTGTCTGGGGGATCCTTTGCTGTGCAGCTCTACTCCTCCCTGCTGGATGCTGTTAGGAAGTGCAGCACTAAAGCCAATCCCTCGTCTGCAGCGTCAGGGAGGAAGAGAGGCAGAGGCCGAGGCCGAGGAAGGAGAGGAAGAGGGGGAGGTGGAAGAGGAGCTCAGGCTGGGGGGAGAGACGACGAGATGAACAACAGGTTTTCTCTCCTTATGAGCGAGGAAGAGTACGATGATGACGACTGATGGGAAGGGAGGAGAAAAATGAACAGATCAACATGAAACACTTGCTAGGGGCCAAATGAGGGAGGGCATATCAGCGGTTTATAAAACACGCTCAGGAATTGCTACAAGTAGTCATTTTTAAGTGAAGAATTACAACTTATGATGTTTACCACTGTGTATTGCAGTATTTTAACCTACATAAGCGAAAACGATATTCCGTTCCAGTTTTTGTTGCCACCTTAAAGCATGTGATGTCGACACTAGATCAGTCTTCTCAAAGCAAACTCTAACCATATTTTTACAGATTTATAACCGCTTGTATCAAATTACTCACACTGTTATCGATGCAACCATCTTCAGCTTCAGTTTTATCAAATATGTCAGAAAAATATTTAAAAACAATGAATGTAGAGATCATGTCTGTGGACCACAAAGTTGTATGGCAGCTACTGTCAACTTAAGCAATTTCTGAAATCTTATGCCTTTTTTTACTGCAGATGCCTTAATATACACAAATGTACTGTTTGCTCTTCTTTCCATATGTAAAAAAAATGCAAATCAAACTCGTCTTATTCTGCTATATTTTTGTTTTACTTGTAACCACATATAGCTGAGAATAAAACGTTTATCCTTAAAGGCACAGCACAAAGTTACAGAGCATAAACCAGCTCACGGTCAGGACTGTCAACAAAACATCACAACTTAATCTATAAACATGTATATAAAATCTGTCTCTTGTCCTATGAGGACGATGAGGTCGAGGCGGATGAAGAGGCAGCGGACGCAGCGTGTGGCTGAGAGTCTATGAGCTCCATGTCTTCGTCTTCGTTGACTCCGCATGTGTCGACGACGCAGATCAGGCAGCTGGTGACGGGAAAAGCTCGCACTTTGCTGCACGTCACCCACCTGAGAAGAGAAGAAAACTCGTAGATTCAGCATTTAAACAAGGCACTATTTATTTGTGTAGAAGAATGGTTTTATAGTGTGTTTATAAGGACACATTGCTGTGGTTCTTGGGGGTTAAGACCCCTATAAGGGCAGCTGTAGATGTAATAGCGGGGAGACGTCTGCATTTTAAATCTGCCCTGTTGCTAGGAGATGCTCTGGAGAACTGAGTCAGTCAACAGAGATCCCAAGTGATGACCCTGCAGGTGCAACTGGTGGAAATGCCTCGGTAGTAACACCTTACTTGTGCAATAGAATTCACCAGACACACAGCATTGATATGAGGGCAGTGGTCTGTTTAATGACAGGTCTACACATCAGTGGCAAAGATATCTCCAACATCTTTTTCTTAAATACATTTATTTTAGCAATTCGTTCATACACCAACCTGTCAGTTTCCGTGTAATACTCTAAGACGTGTCCGAGCCGCCCCACCCCTTGAAACCCTGCCAGCACGTAGATGACATCTCCGACCGCTGCACACTTCACCGTTATGCCTCGCCATGGCATCGGCGACGCGACGCACCACTCATTAGTAGCAATGTCATAGTATTCCACTGAATCCAGCCCACCTAGAACAATCACACAAAAAAACTGCATTGTTCTAGTACACGATTGTGACTGCCATATTGCTGCTATGTTATTACAGCACTATTTCTTCTCCACTGTGATGTCAGTTTTATTACCCAGTGCCCCCTGCCCTCCAACAGCATAGATCCTGTTGTTGACAACCACCAACCCGTGGTTCTTCCTGGCCTCTCTCATCCCACACAGCTCCCTCCATCTGAAAAGGTAAAAAGTAGAGAATAGCAGGTAAATGCTGCAGTGTAGAAAAACATTATGTGTTCCTTTGTGGGGACATTTTTGATGCCTTTTAAAACCTGTTAGTTAAAATAAACACTTTGTTGATGTTCAACTAAGAAGAAGATGATATTTTCTTGATACCTTTGGAAATAAGCTGTTTTAGTCAAGAAAAACTATTGTTTATAAGTTAAGATAAAACTTTATTGATCCAGCACTGGGGAAATTTACATGTTACAGCAGCTGGATACAGATGAAGCACGAAAAAAGCAGGACAATTTCTGCACACTTTGATGTAAATAGTAAGGCCCTAATGCAACACTATTACATCCATACATACTATACAGTCTCAGGATCATGAGCGCTAAGTGACACGTACACAGGTGTACGATTCTGTGACTCACTGTTGTGTGTTGGGATCATAGACCTCACAGTTGTTGAGGACCCTCCCAGAGATGTTGTTGCCCACCGTTCCTCCACAAACGTAAATGAGCCCATTGGCCTCCACTGAACCGTGGCTGAAGCGGGCCATCAGCATGCTGGTTTTGACCTGCCATGACTCTGTCCTTGTGTCATAGCATTCGAAAAGGTCCAGGGCTGAGCTACCTGTAGACACACGGACAGAACTTAATACAATGATTAGATGCTTCCAGAGGTCAGTGAGCATATAATAACAACAACAACGTCATGTGGCACATGCCAGTCAATACTGATAGAACTATAGCAGCGAACAGAGCGGACATCATCATTAAAGATTCAGTGAATTCTACCTGCAAACTGCTTGATATGACTATTCCATTAGACAGAAACATTGCACTAAAACAAATAGAAAAAGAAGTACAAGTACAAAGATCTAGAACTAGAAATACAGAGAATGTGGCAGATGAATACCAACGTGACCCCTGGAGTTGAGGGAAAAATAAAGAAGCGGACGGTAGAAAACATCAAGAAAGTATCAGAGAGAGCTACAGTAACAGAGACCCAAAAGGTCAGCATGCTGGGATCTGCACGAATCCTCAGGAAGGTTCTTAGTATATGAACAGAATTAATGACTTCAGTGACTGATGCCTCACGTGCATGGATTGCACTCGGCTGAGGCACAAAAAGAACACCAGCAAAGACTGTGACAAAAGAGATAGTAATAATAATAATAATGTAATACAACCTACACAAAATATGAAACGTATCTATTCCATATTAGCACCTCACTGTTCGCAACCCACTTGGTAGATATGTAAAGAAACTACATTTCATATTTCATGTTCTCCCCCCCCTCCAACGCTCACCCACTTCCGACCCCCCAGATGTGTAGATCTTGCCCTGGGAAGCGCAGGCAGCCAGGCTGTCGCGAGGTGTGGGCGGACCAAGCTTAGAGTACCAGCTGTCTTTCAGAACGTTGTAGCAGTCCATGCGCTTGATGGGGAAGAGCTGCGAGCCACCCAAGATGTAGACCACATTGTCCCAAAAGACGGCCGTGGCGTCCCGGCGCTTTTCAAAGGGGCAGCGAATGTCTGTCCAGCTGGAATCCTACAGGGAAAGCCACGCTGACACTTTACCAATATGATTAGAATAGACCTAACGATACACAAATCTGTTATGTGTGTGTCCAACATATAATCTAACAATGCCCCCTTGAGAACATTTTTTTCATGTGCAGCCTGGTACCTTGGGGTTGAAGTAGCGACAGGACTGAGGCTGTGAGCCTCCAAACAGAGCAATGCGGTAGTCGTGCTTCTTGCGTCGCGGTCGGCTGCTCTCTCCAAGGTCCTCCCGATCCTCCAGGGACAGCAGGTGGTAGCGCATCCCACCTTAGAGAAAAGCACAGGATGTATTTGTTTTGCTAAAAATGTCAGCTCATTATGTCATTACACCACATGCATAGCGAGTACTTTAAATACCAAATCAGCAGCAGTAATATCAATGTAGATATCAACTTTTTCTTTCTGACTAGTTGGAATTCATAGCCAACATGTCCTTGTAGTACTTGTACCTAAAAGCAATTTTGGTTAAAGAGGGAGGCAGTCTTCTTTGGCATCCAAAATTCCAGACCAACCCTCAGCATTTTATAATTCAACTAGTCAAAGAGGAAACTAGACTTCTGTACCTCCTCTTAGGTTTGTTTTTAGGCTTTTGAAAATCTATTCTGGGAAAGAGCTGTTTGACAATCACAGGACTTTTCACCCAGATCAGCTAAAATAGTATAACTACCAACAAACTTCACAGCACCAGAAGGATGTAGTGGAAGTGTAGCGAATAGTTTCAGATATCTCAAACATCATTATCTTTGTTTGAAGAATTAATTCTACTTGTTGTGGTGGATAAGATTGAAACAGAATGCCATCAAAGAGAAAGACCTCATTACCAAGGAGTTTGTAGAGAACAAGAGCTTGTTTCATTAGAGATTTGCGAGTTATACCATTTCAACATGTCAAAATCGACATCCTCCCCACTGAATAAATGTCAAAAAGGCTTTCCATATTGTGTAAACTAGATTTTGTGCATTTGTGTGTCAGCTTCTCTCTCTTCCGACTCACCGATAACCATCTTGAGGCACTCTGGGTTGTCCTGGATGAGAGGCTCAGCCTGCACAGTCTTGGAGAGGAAAGTTTTGGAGACCAGAGGAAAACGAACGCACCCCAACACCTCCACCATGTACTGCTGTCTGTTACACACATCGTACTTCAACCAGCGCACGGCAGCATCGTAAATCTGAACACAAATACAACAACAAAACATGTGGAAATGTACAAGTTGCAGGCGGGTATGTCTTGATGTGATGAACACTATTAATATGGTGATCTAGGTTTTGAAAAGAAGTGTTTATCAATTAATAAGTGGCACATCTACTTTACAAAAAAAATGTTGGGGACTTATTTTGTGACTTTCCCAAATTTGTGTGTCTCTAAAATACCACTGGTTTCTATTCTTAAGCATGTACTTAAAAATAATAGCACAACTGAAATGAACCATATAGTCAAAGGACATCTGTACCTGGGCCTCAGCACGGACGGTGAGTTTGTCCTGGTGCAGTATGCGAGTGAGCTGCGTAACGTCCAGTTGCAGGAATTCATCCAGTTTGTAGACTTCAGTGAAGTGGAGCTGGACAAAGTCCTCTGCTGCCGCCTTCAGCTCTGGACAGTCCATACAGTCTGCAAGGGATGAAATACCTGCAGGAGGACACAAAAGAAATCAGTGAATATAATAAACGACACAATTGGCAGGCCTGTGTTTGTATTTCAGTTGTTACCGAGGCAGTTTGTTGCATCAACCTGTCCTTTAAGAAACTCCACACACATCTTCTTCACAGGCTCAATCTGGTACTGGTTGGCTGCATCCAGCAACGACAGGACATTACTGCTGTTCACTGAGATTCTGGCGCACACACACACAAACACAGAATGCAAGGCTTATTTTGCATGAAAAAACAACAATACAATTCTCTCAAAAAGGACCTGCTTCGCAAAATCAGGCCAGCTTTGTATGTAAACTTAAAACTGCATCATAATGACCATGCTTGTAGGTTACACCTGAGGCAAGATTCTTACCGTGCTGTGTAAATAAATTCAATTAACAACTCAATGATCTCAGGCTCGGCACTCCTGAGCTCCACCTCATGGGACATTGACTCCATCATTCTGGCTGGAAGTGAGAAAAAAAACAGAATAACATTATTGAAAAATAAAAACACACCAACAACATGATAACAGATGTAAGTATTTTCAGTGAGCAACATCTTTGTGTGGCAGGTAGGGGAAAACTGCAAACTTAATTGTGATTTCACTGTAACAAATTAGTAGTTTTGGTACAATATCCTCGC